CTTCAGCTCAAGGCTAGCGCTCTACCACTTGAGCCACAGTGCCACTTCCGGCTTTTTTCTTTTTGCTTATGTGGTGCTGAGGAATTAAACCCAGGGCCTCAGGCATGCAAGGCAAGCGCTCTACCACTGAGCCACCTTCCCAGCCCTTCCTAATAATTCTTTATCGAGGAGAAGAGTATCTTCAATCAGAAAGAGAGCATTCAATATTTCATTCTCATCAAAGGAAAATGGGTTAATTGTTCTAGTTTACCAGACCATTTGAGACACCAAAAGATCCTAAGTTTTACAGTACTTCCACCATGATCAACCTGTTAGTGAAAGGGAAATAATACTGGCTTGCAACAGCAATAGAATTATTCCAGTAAAAATAATCCTGAATCCCAAGTAACTTGCATTTTGAATTTTTTGTCATTCGTGGGGCTTGAACTCTGGGCCTGAGAACTTTTCCTCAGCTCTTCAGCTCAAGGAAAGCACTCTACCACTTGAGCCATAGTGCCACTTCCAGTTTTCTGGTGATTAACTGGAGTAAGAGGCTCACAGACTTCTGCCAGGGCTGGTTTTGAACCATGATCTTCAGATCTCAGCCTCCTGAATACTAGGATTACAGGCATGAGCCACCTGTGCCCGGCTACATTTTGAATTCTTATGCTTTCACTTTATATAACTTGTCAGTGTTATGGGCTTGGTTTGGTTTTATTTTTCGTTTGTTGTACTTCTTTGGCCAATTTCTATAATATTGAGAAAAGATGAGCAATAAACAGTCCCTATTCAAAGAATCTCTCCTCTAAACTAGGTTACAGAGCTACTAAATTTGGAGTCTTATATTACTCTTCAGAGACTGATAATTTGTATTTCTTACCACATTCCACTTGTGTATCATAGCGATACAACTGCCTAACCTCGTGGTTACTGCTATGGCAGTTGCTGGGATCCTGGAGAGCATTCTTCTCACCAGCAGAGTCCGTGCTTTGTATCTGTCTTTGTAAACATGTGGAATAGTGCAACCCTGCCATAGACAACATGCCCTGAATAGCTTCTTCTTCTGTGCTAGTCGAGGTAGAACATTCCCTAAAGAAATGGTAATCCAAAAAAAAACAGGTCTATTATTTCTGATGACATTTTCATTAAAACTGAAAAAAAAATTCACAGCATTTACATCACAATGTAGAGCAATTGCTACCAACAGCAAAAATACCTTTTAATTGGAATTTCACTTCTAGACGGCTTCTGGCTCTTCTGAAGGAAATTCCTTATCACATCAGGTTCCTCCTTAGAGTTCGATGTTATTTCTTGTTTCTTTTCATCACCTGAACTTTCAGACTCTTCAGTGGTGAAATGAATTTTCTGAGATAATTTAACAGAAAAAAAGCTATATGAAAAATTGACCAATATTATATAAACCAATCAAAAAGAATATCTATCTAGAGATAGCTTCATCTTAATTATTGTAGAGTAACATGTATCATAAAAGAATCTCTAGTAACTATAGTAACAGCCTGCTGAGTGAAAAGCACAATATTGGCTTTAATGTAAAATAAAATGTAACCTGTAAGAAATAGAAGCCACAATAAGACCAAAATTAGCAGAAGAATTTCTCCCTCCAACCTTTCCAAAACAGTCAAAGGCTACTTAACAAACACAAACAGTAACAGGATGGTGTGGTCACAATAACCAATATAGGAAGACCCCAGGTTAACAGGTTGAGGGAAGAAGGCTTTGGGAAAAGCTGTCATAATCTTTCCAGATGAAGATCCATGCTCATCTTCCCATAAAATGACACACAAGTCATCAGGTTTCATGCATACCAATGCAGTGCAATCAGGTCCAGAGTCTTCTGAATCAGAAATATCAGAATATTCTGATGATCTATTCCTGAGTTCTGATTTCACACTTGTAAAAAACCCTGGTGAAGAGAAAATTCACGAGAAAACGAGAAAGTGATTAGAACTTCACGGTCAAGGTGGCAAGAGGATCTCTGAAGTCTGCCAACTATAGGGTATCTATCAATCTCTAGTTCTAGTTCTCCTTTCTTATGCCTTGTTTTTTCCATTTCCTTCTCCCCCAAAGTCTTTCTCCCAAACTGATCAAGATACAGATAGATGTCCATTCTTAAAATGTTTGTGGTATTTATTGAACATGATTATATATTCCTTGTATATGAGGGATGACTAACTTTCTAGAAAAGAATGTTTAAAACTAAAATTAACTACAAGACACTTTTCACTTTCTTTTGCATTAGGTCTCTCAGTAAGAGAACAAAAACATAGCTCTCCCAAACTTAAAATACATTCATATAGACTGTGAATTCAGTTAGCTTATAACCTGGGCTTTCCCGTGGTCCATCTCTTTCATAAGGCTCTGCACAGAGCAATTATTCCAAAAATTTCTAGTGGTTGGGGACTCTGCCTTTGCCCTGACAGATAAACAAAGGTAGAGTCCCCAACCCATAAGAGGACCAAACTAACCTGGAACTAATAAGAATTACCTATTCATTTTGAAGAATACATAATTAATAATTAATTTTATATGAAACCCTTATAAATACTAAAATATTTTAGCTACTTTTTAAAATAGAAGGGCAGATAGAGCTCAAGCCCCACTACTGACCAAAAAAAGAGAGAGATCTTTCATGCGATTGTTTCTAACATATATAAGATTATGTCTTTGTTGCCTTGTATGTCCCTCCCCCATGGTACAACCCCTTTCATTATATATGATGTTGGTATATGTGGAGGAGAAGGGAAAAAACAAATTGTTAAAACAGGAATCAGGAGGACCCAATGCAACAATGAGATGTACAAGTCGTTATGTCGAAAAACGAACTTTACAACTTTGGTGGGGGGGGATGGAGGAGGGGGAAGATACGAAGGGATGGGAAGGGGAAACAAAGCAGGAGGCTACAAAAATGCTTGATAAGAAATGTGCTCATTATCTTACCCACGTAATTGTAACCCCTCTGTACAGTATTTTCACAATAAAAATATATTTAAATAAAAATAGAAGGGCAGGGTTGGGGAGGTGGCTCAGTGGTAGAGTGCTTGTCTTGCATGCATGAGGCCCTGGGTTCGATTCCTCAGCACCACATAAGCAGTAAAAGCTGGAAGTGGCGCTGTGGCTCAAGTGGTAGAGTGCATGCCTTGAGCTGAAGAGCTGAGGGACAGCACCCAGGCCCAGAGTTCAGGCCCCACAACCAACAAAAAATAAATAAAATAAAATAGAAGGGCATATAGAGATCTTGAAAAATGTTAGGAAATTAAAAATTTCATTCAGGGAAGAAAGGTCTTGAGATGTTACTAAGGTGTCTGATATTACTATTACTGTACTACTTTATTATTTCCATTATTACTCTATTGGATAAGCAATTAATAGCTCAGTAAGAAGCTTTTTTGACAAAAGGCAGTCAAATAACTCCATAGTACCTGAATTCCCAATAGCTTCAGATTGATGATATATATTTCCTAATTCTGAAACCACATACATGTTAGCAAAAATTATACATACAAGTATGTTAATTAAGAGTCCTTTTAAAGGTCTCTAAAAACTATAACCACACTTGAGTTTCACTAGTCCCCAACACCCTTCCCATACTGATAATAATCCCTGCTACTACACCTCAGTTAGCATTCACATTCAGCATTTCCCTCTCTGGTAGGTGAACTATTTGCACATACCTCAAGATTTTTCAAAGCAATGTGAGGAACACAAACGTTTTCCATCTCACTATAAACTTAAAACTTTAAAATTAGCAAGTTTTTTATTGCCACTTTAGTAAAGGGGAAACCCTTAAACAATTACAGGAAAAAAAAAAAGAAAAACATACTATTAAGTGGTTTTTGAGATTCTTCGCTCTCTGTCCCCTCTATTCCTGAACTTTCTTCCATCTTCATGGTTGCCTTTTTGGTCCTTCTCTTATCCTCTTCATTTTCACTATCTGCTGTGTAAAGACTCTGATCTGCGAAGGGCTGCCTCTCATCTCTGTACCATGGAGAAAATAATGTAGTCAGAAACAGGGTAAAGCTCTAGTACCTTTCCCTTCATTTGCAGACAGAGTATAGACTTGAGATTGTTTCCCCAAATCACAGTTGGCTGCCCAACAGAACAGACTAAAGATTAAATGAGCAAAGGGAATCCACTGAAGGTTAATCAATCTAATTCTTGGATCTACTTTACATACTTAATTATTCTTCCATTTGTCAGCAGTAATCGTAGATCGTTATCTTTTGCTCTCCATTCAGGTACTGTAGAAGATGGCTGGAGATGTTTGTTGAACTTTCCATTCAGTTTAGAGCTCAAGATGTCCTTAAAATATAAAAGCAGAACTGACTTAACCTCTATCTTCAGACACACCTACTCAATGGAAGAAGATACATGCTTCCCCTCCTCCCTGCCTTGCTGGGTGGCAGACAGACATCTAAGTTTGAGAATACGCAGTAATCCCATACTCCAGAATTGATCAAGCCAAAGCCTGAGTATAACACATCTTTCAGGAAGGCCATTAACATTAAAATACATTCTGGAATATAGAATATAAAATCTGCATGAAGAAAATCCAAAGAAAGGTCACCCTTATAGAAGTTGAAAAACTGGAGATACAGCCTTAGGTTTTTTTTGTTTCCATTTCTTCCTGCTTGAATTACAGCTACAGGGCCTTCCCATTTACCCTGACCTTGACCTCATACCTTGTTTTTCCACCAGGCAATGTCAGCAGACACGTAATAATAGGCACAATGGCCACCATGTGACAGAAATAAACATGAGTACCTGGTTTTTAATACATAAGAAGTACTTCCACCCGCCACTGGTGGTTCTCATCTGTAATCCTAGCTATTCAGGAGGCTGAGATATGAGGATCATGGTTAGAAACCAGCCCAGGCAAGAAAGTATGTGAGAATCTTATCTCCAATAAACCACTCAGAAAACTGGAAGTGGCACTGTGGCTCAAGTGGTTGAGTGCTCGCCTTGAGCTGAAGAGCTGAGGGACAGCGCCTTGAGCTGAAGAGCTGAGGGACAGCGCCAAGGCCCAGAGTTCAAGCCCTGACCAAAAAAAAAAAAAATACTTCCTATTTTTCCTTAATAATAAATAGAACTTTTCCACAGTAAACTTCCCCAGATGGCTATAGGTTAAGTAGACTTAAGAACATCATAATCAGCCAGTTCAAAGCCAGCCCAGGCAAGAAAGTCTGTGAGACTCTTATCTCCAAGTGGTGCTGTGGCTCAAGTGGTAGAGTGCTTGCTTGCCTTGAGCTGAAGAGCCCAGGGAAAACGCCCAGGCCCCCAGAGTTCAAGCACCACAACGGACAAAAAAAAAAAAAAAGAACATCATAATCTTAAGATCATGTGTTATATCAAATTTAAAACATTTAATGTTATAATATCTATATAACTTCCTTAAATACTTTGCTCCAGAGAAACGTCTATTTTATTCATTTTAGATTATTGCCTATTTTCTACTTAAGATATAAAATTACAGACGATACAAACCTCATCACAAGTTCATGATCAGGTTTAACAAAAGCACTACACTCATCTCATTGCTGCCTCCTGCTGCCAACTTCGTCCAGCACACCAGCATTCCTCCAACTTAAATGAGTATATTCTAACTGTCTTCCAGGGAATCAGGCTCGCACTGATGGCTCAAGGACAGGCTTTCTGCATTTGTCCTTTCTCTGAATGCAATGCTACTCCTCAATCTCTGTCCATTTGTGTCCTTCCTTTTATTTATCATCAAACATCACCACCTAAGAGACTGAGTACTCCAGCTAACCTAAACCCTCTTTATTCTCTGTTGGTTCTAGATTCCTTTAGTACATTTGGCAGCTGAAATACAGTTTTAATATATAGTTCTGTCTCCCCCAATCTTCCAACTTGAACTCATTTGAATACTTCATGACAGTATGAACTTGTTTGCTCACTCTGGCATCTTTTCCAGAACCTAGAAGAGCACATGGTATTTTTTTTTTTTTTTGGGTCCGGTCGTGGGGCCTGAACTCTGGGCCTGGGCGCTGTCCCTCAGCTCTTCAGCTCAAGGCTAGCGCTCTACCACTTGAGCCACAGCACCACTTCCGGCTTTTTTCTTATGTGGTGCTGAGGAATTGAACCCAGGGCCTCAGGCATGCAAGACAAGCGCTCTACCACTGAGCCACCTTCCTAGCCCCGAGCACATGGTATTTGGTAAATTAAAAACATGACAGTGCTGGGCAATGGTGGCACTCAGGGGGCTAAGATCTGAGGATTGTGGTTTACAGCCAGCCTTGGCAGGAAAGTCCATGAGACTCTTATCTTCAATAAACTACTTAAAAAAACCACAAGTGGAGCTGTGGCTCAAGTGGTAGAACACTAGCCTTAAGCAAAAGAAACTCAGGGACAGCGCCCAGGCCCAGAGTTCAAGCCCAAGGATCAGCAAAACAAACAAAAAAACATGACAACAAGTGAATGAGGTCTAGTCATCCTAACTGTATACCCAGGCCAAGAACGATTAAGCATTCTGCCCTAATGCCCTGCCATTAATGTATTGGCGAACTCCTTAAAAATATATAGCAAATATTAGATAGCAAGAACAAACTGTTGTTTAATTACCATTTAAAAGAACTTTAAGGAACTACCAAGTTTCTTCTTCTTATAATGAAACATAATACTTGCCTCTTCCCATGGACACATCTCCAATCTTTTGAGGACCTCCCTTGTATGGAGCTCTAAGATATCTAGATTAGAAGGAGTTCGGACATTATGATCTCGAAGTTTCCTCATCTTTCTTCGGGAATGGTATGGGGAAGTTGATTCATTTGAGGACCGAGAAACTGGACACACAGTAGAGATTCCCTGAGATTTAACTGGCTTGCCATTTTCTTCCTTTAAGAATTAAATTGAGTATGTGTTACGAGAAATTTACTATATACATATCTAACTAAATAATAAGGCATATAAATATTTTGGAAAACAAAACAACATTCCATTTAATCAAAAAAGAAAAAGACCAAATTAAAGTCTGAGGTTTCCAGAGATCTCTATTCATTTTTCCCCAGTATGATAATTTTGATCTGGCTTTGTTTTTTGTTTTGTTTCATTGTTGTTGTGCCTCAGCATTCTGAGTCATGAGATTACAGGTATAAGCTACCACAACAGACTCCTTGATTTTCAGTATCATAGTAAAAGTTTCTTGTATTCTGCTGTATGGACATAGCATCATTATTGACCTAATACTTTCCGGAAGCTATTTAGGCTGCTTTTACTTCTTTCCTATGGTGAACATCCTTTCCACCAGCTGTATATCTGCAATACTTACTTTTAAAATTAAAGACACCAGGGGCTGGGAAGGTGGCTCAGTGGTAGAGTCCTTGCCTTGTATGCATGAGGCCCTGGGTTCAATTCCTCAGCACCACATAAGCAAAAAGAAAAAAGCCGGAAGTGGTGCTGTGGCTCAAGTGGTAGAACGCTAGCCTTGAGCTGAAGAGCTGAGGGACAGCGCCCAGACCCAGAGTTCAGGCCCCACAAAAATGAAAATAAATAAATAAATAAAATAAAAAAGCA